CTGCCGGGTGCATGAGCGGTATGGCCAGGAGGTGGCCCGGCTGCGGCAGGACTGGCTGGACAGGCGACGTGGCCCCCAGCTTTGAGAGGTGGCTGAGCCTTGGGGACCCGCCAGGACCTGTGGCAGGGAGGAAGTGATCATCCTTGGTGCCGCCTCGGTCCCCTCCTCACCCCAGGATGTGCAGCCCTGTCCACGGTGGTGACGAACACCTGCTGATGGTGCCACTAAGGGCCCAGTGCCGAGGGACACCAGTGCTGCTCTGTGATGGCGAAATGCCAGCCAGGCACCGATGGCAGCTGAGCTCAGCGTGCTGCCAGCCAGGCGTGAAACCCCCGGGGTCTTGGGGCTGCCAGACTTGCGGGCATCTTGTGCCAGGCAGCGGGTGCTCCCCGCAGGGGTGTACCCCTCCAGCCGTGCCTGGGCGTGGGTGCGGAGTGGTCCACCCAGCGCAAGCAAGCTATGAACCACTTGCTGGCTGATGCCTCCTGGGAATTGACCACTGCACTTGGTCTGGTGGGGCCTCTTGATGCTCTTGCAGCGGGGTCATGCACCGACAATACTTTTGGAGGAAGATTTTGATGGGATCTCTGCCTGCCTGAGCCCCCACGTGGGTGTTTCACAGCCAGGGAGCCTGCTACTGCCTTCCCCTCCCTGCCCGGCACAAGCGACTGGCTGAGGTCAGCCGAGCTCTGCCAGATCCCTCTGCTCCAGCAGGATGTGGTTTGAAAATGAAAATATCAGCAAGCGCAGCCCTTCCTTAATGGTAGCAGCACCGTGCGCCCTGGCTGCCCAGGGAGCTGGTGACACCCGGCCCCGGGCGTTACGCACAGGGCGATTGCTGCTTGCAGCCCTGACGGTGAACCTGTGGTGGGGGGAAGACCCAAGGAGAATGCAGCGGCTGCAGGCACCGCCTTGCCGGGCAGATATTTCGGGGCAGGGTATCATCCCTGGGCTGGCTCACTAACGGGAAGCATCGCTTGCGGCGGCAAACAGGAACGTATGTGTCAGCGGCGGAGAGTGTCGAATGATTCATGTGCCAAACCAGAGCGAAGCCAGTGTCTCGTGCTGGTGTTTCTCTTTTATTTCCCCAATGGTTTGTATTGACACTAAAGCTGCTGGCCTGGAGGTGGGGTGACCTGCCCCAGGTCTGGGAGGAGCAGTTGGGGTGCCCCAGGTTTGGGCCAGGTGGCTCCGGCTCCCTTTGCCCCCTTGGGACAGGCACAAGATTTTGCTACAATAAAAGTTGTTTCAGAAATTCCCTCCTGGCTCTGGTTCTCGCTTGTACCTCTAAGCCCCTGGGGAGGGGGGCCCAGGTGGGAATTAATCATTTTAATCCCCCTCCTGTCCCTGCCATGTCCATGAGGCTGGGCAGGGACTGTGTCGCCCGAGTGGGACACGGCCAATGCCAGGGACTCGCAGTGCCCTGGAGCCCCACATCTGCCTGCAGGGATGGGAGGGGAGGGGATGGATGGGATGGATGGGATGTGATGAGATGAGACGGTGCCACTCTGGGAACACCAGGACACACAGCGCCAGGGTGGTCCCATGGCAGGGACAGCACAGTTCTGCCCTCCGTGACGGCTTGAACAGTCAGGCACAGATGACCAACATGATGGTTTGGGCATTGGAAAAGAGCTGGGAGACTGATCAGGAGCACAACCCTCCCACAGTTTCACCGGTGGAAATGGCACTGGGTGCCCCGGCGTGAGTTGCCGGTGCATTACAGGCTCAATGGGGTGTTACAACCATCCCTCCAAACCCTGGGTTACATGCAGCACTGTGTGATGCCACCCAGGTTTGGGTGCCCCTGGTCGGGTGGCCCTGCGCCCCCAGTGGGACATACCCAGCCCTCTGCCAAGGGGTCTTAGCCAGGGACAAAATATCTGTCCCCTTGCCAGGGCTGGTGTTGGTGCTAGGCAGGGATCCTGCCCTTGTGGAAGTGGCCAATGTGACCCCGTGTCCCTGCCCGCAACATCCCACCTGCATGAAATTCTCCATCTTCTTGCTAACACGGGGTCTTTCAGTGGGCCGGGGGGTCGCCTCTTGGGGAAACTGAGGCACGAAGCCAGCCAGGGTCAGTCGCTCGCCAAGAGCACTCCAGAGTGAGGAGCCCTGCTCCTGGCCAGGCACAGCACCCCACTATGTTTTTCGGCATTTGGAGCGGTGCCGCCAAGGGCAACTGGGGTGCAGCTACACTCGCAGCATCCAGATGGTTAACGTGGCCCCATCAGTCGGCTGCAGAGGAAGATTCCGGTTTCCATGGCAGCCGGCCCAGCTTCTCCAGACGTTCAGATATTCATTAAAAATAAATCCTTCCCAACATGTTAGCCGACAAACAAGCTTAAACAGATATGCAACATATGGATTTATTAATTCATCAAACGCAAACACCCCTGCCTTGTGTTGGAAGCTGCAAACTTGCCCGACGATGGCCGGCTCTGAAGAGCCATGCTGGGGTGCAGCGCCATTGGGCAATGCTGAGCCGAACCTCATGCCAGAGGATGCTGAGTTACGCTGGGGGCAGGAGCAAACCTGCACCAGGATGAGCACAGGACTTTAACGGGGCAGGATTGCACCCTGGGCTGGACTAACCCCATTTAACACCCCCTTTTTTCCCCAAATCTCCCCCTTTTTCCCCCCAAAAAAATAATTTTCCCCCCAATCCTGGCAGTGAGAGGTCTTGCCATAAACCCAAAGCAAGACTGTGACTTCCAAGGGAACCAACATCAACCCAGGTGCCGGGCGAAGGCGAGAGGAGCTCCCATCCCGGCCGCCGCCGGACAAAGCACACCCCAAGGCCAGAGTCGTATCCAACTTCTGTATTTAGTGGCTCTTTACAGAACTTGTTCCTTCCAAAATTGTTAAACAAAGTTCATCGATCTCATAGAAACTTTTGAAGTACAGTACATGAGCCTAACAAAAACATGACCGGTATGTCCCGCTAGCTTTAATACAACAGGATTGCTGTGTTCAAGACTACCCTAAGTGCTTCCTCGAATCCCATTCCACTAAAGCTCCCGCTAGCACACGACGGAGAAGAGCAGTCAATGGTCGCGCCTTGACCTTCTGCAGCGCGGCGGCAGGGAAAAAGAGCGGCTGTGGGCAAGCTGGGGCTCGCTGGGGCAGGGTAGGCGGGCAAGGAGAGCCGTGCCTTCGCAGAGCTACTTTTAGCATCGCTCATTGACTACCACCCAAATATAAAAATACCTTCTATTCTGATAAAAATGTATACAGTGGAAAATCAGTCAATGCATAGCCTCAGAGCCTGGCAGGGGAGCCCTCCCAACAGTGGTGGCCTTGGTGGGTGATGGCTGACGCCATGCGGGCAGGGGACAGGGCAGGGCAGCCCAGCACAGGCCACCCCGTGTCATTTAAAGGCATTTTGTTAGCAGAGGCAGGCTGGCAGTGGTGGGGTCGGGGAGGTGGTGGGGAGCACGCTGGGATGGTGCCACTGCAGTGCTCCTGTGCCTTTGCACGGGGTCAGCCCTGGAAAGTCAATGCTCGATGGTGCTTTGCCCAATTCAGGTCTGAGCTTGCCCAATTCAGGCAGGAGCTTGGCACAACACCCCGGGGCTCACCCTGGCTTCACCAGCAGCCACTGCCTGGGGACATGGCCGTGGCGAGGGGATGCAACTCCTGCCCGGGCACTCTCCCTAAAAAAAAAGTGCTTCAGCCACAAGAGCTGGCTGTGATGCTGGGAGCAGCCCCGAGCAGGGTTTGGCCCCCCATGAGCGGGTGGCTCATGATTTTTGGGTGCTCGTCCCCAAGCACTGGTGCCCCAGGGGCAAAGCTCAGAGGCTCCATCTCTTTTTCTTTCCCAGATGGACGATGGCAGAGCACAGGGAACTGGGATCCCATGCATGTCCATCCCCAGCGAGCCGGAGCCACCCCCGAGCATCACACCCGGGTACCTCTTCCCATCTCACTCCCAAATTCCGCAAGCGCAGGTTGCTTTCTTTGCTTTTGCATTATTTTTTCGCTTCCTTTGGGAGCTGGCAGGAGCCGCACCGTGCCATATCGGGGCTGCCACCGGTTGCCGGCTGGAGGAAGTGTGAGGAACGGCGTTCGGACCATGCTACATCTTGTTCAGAAGGCTATTGCAGACATTTCTACAACATATACAACTGCACGGGACATTCTGTGTTACAAAGGTTTCAAAAAACATAAACCACCAGAACTAAATACATACTCGATGGCATCAAGGTTTTCGCTTTAGAGTCTTCAGGGACTATGATGCAGTCTCTGGCTGGGGCAGAAGCGATGCAGTGTCTTACAGACAGAGGTGGAAACCGCTCGTCAAAAGTTTATTAAATTTGGTCAGTCTCATAGTGCTTCTTAATGGCTTTGCTCAATAAGTCTTTTCTGTGGGGTTTTTTTGTTTGTTTTTTTTTTAATCTCATCCAGTGGCAAACTACAAGACTTCAGTGTACATTTAATGACACGACTGCTACATCATCTTGATTTTATAGCTATCTTTAATATCAAAGCAGCTTAAGCTGTTAATAAATTCCAAAGTATCCTTTTATTAAAATATCTAAAAGAGGTCTATAAATATTTTTTGTTTTTTTTTTCTTTTCTTTTCTAAAATTGTTCCCAGTTTTTCACATTTAAAACAAAGCGGGGGGGCAGCTTCGTAGCGGGGGCCCCCCCTTTCCACAGGTGCTCCCCTCCGTCGCACTGGCTGCCTGTCGCCTCTCGATGCGCGCTGCATTTAACAAAATATATATATATATGTGGGTGTGTATATATATATTTAGGGCGGTGGGGGGGGCTCAGAACTCCCACTCGAGGGCCTCCTCGCGGTTGGCGGCCCGCTCCAGGCGGTGGATGATGTTGTTGAGGTTGGCCATCTTCTCGTGGCGCCGCTGGACACTGGTGCTGAGCCGGGGGCCAGGAGCTGGCGGCAGCGCTGGTGAAACTGGCCCGGCAGAGGATGGCCCCGGGGGGGCCGGGCCGGCAAGGCCGGGCGGGGGGGGCGCCCGGG